CAATGAAAAACCCTAATGACACTAGTGAGGATAAAAAAACAGGGTAGTGTTTGAAAGCTGTTTTATTATGACAATGCGAGGTATGCTAAGCCACTTGATTACACTATAATTTATAAATCCTCGTTTGGATATGAGATCATTTATGTTTCAAATGAAAGAAATCAAAGAAAGACGTCCCTAGCATCTGAGAATCTGTACATGTTAGTTCAAGTTTCTCCTTTTTAAAGTATATGTATAGATAATAACTTCTTTCCTTTTCAAAATAATATTTTAGTTATCCTTATGTTTATAAAGAAATGTGCAAAAGATAATAGGTGATCTCCAACAGTGTAGAGATATTTAAACCCTGAGCATAATTTTTTTTCCTTTAGGCCTTAAAAAAAGGCAATTTTTTCTTTTTAGCTTTTTAGTTGCTCCTGCATCACAGACAATAGTAATAAAAATAAAATCATTTAAGATACAGCTAACATTTTTTTTAATTTGACAAAATTTTATAGATGAAGCATGGTATTTAATTTGGCAGTGTAGTACATTTTTTTCACCAGCAGAATGTGGGAAAGTGAGTTACCTATGGTATGATATGTATCTAAGTATGTAGGTGCTAATGTCTAGGTCCTCTGCACATGCAAAGTCTAGAACAATGTGGAATCCAGTTTATAGACAAGCTGGCAAGTGGGATCCTGACAACAGCAAAGAAAGACTTTGTCCAGGTACTTAACAATCAGTGAAGTTTGGTTTTTGAAAGTTTAAAATAAATTGGAAAGAATTATTTCACTGGGCAAACAATGCCCTGACCTGAAAAAATGGCTTTAACATTGAGACTTTCTCACTCTTGACTGGGAGGTGCAATAGATTTGGTTATTGCGGGTGTGCTAGAGTGATCAACCATCCCATTTGCTTAGGACCGAGGAATTTCTCAGAATGTGGGGCTTTCAGTTTTCAAGCCAGAATAGTCTTGGGTAAACAGAGACTGTCAGAAGGTTGTGTATTCACATCTCTCAATTATACCTTACATAATACAAGCCAGGTACTACACTTGGCTTGGCTCCATAATCAGCTTCATTAGGCATTTGTATCAAGTTGATTTTTTGATGTTGGAGTTTCTTTGGCAAGTTAGTAATGCTATCTGTAAATCCTGACTGATTTTAGTAATGGCTTAGTTATTAGCTATACAAAATACCCTATGTTTAAATGTTTGAAAGTTAAATTAAGTAAACAAATTCCTTCACATTGGGCAATTGATGCTCTTACTTGCCAGTTCCCAAATGATTTTTTTTCCTACAAGAATGAGGCTTTTAGAAAGTTATATATTATTTTAAAAATTCCTTTCTTAATTTGAACTAGTGATTTCTAAATCCATTACTTTTGAGGAAGATTAACAGAAACTTGCAATAAAGTTGTAGAAAAATAAAGTGACCCATCAATGCGTTATAATATATGCCCCATTCACTCAGCTCCCTTTTGGAGCAGATTAAGGTCTGTTGTCTTTTTTGTAGGTGATGATAGCTCATAGAGGAACAATTTCTAATTTTTTTTTTATTTATGACAGGCACACAGTGAGAGAGAGAGAGGCAGAGACACAGGCAGAGGGAGAAGCAGGCTCCACGCACCGGGAGCCCGATGTGGGATTCGATCCCGGGTCTCCAGGATTGCGCCCTGGGCCAAAGGCAGGCGCCAAACCGCTGCGCCACCCAGGGATCCCGAAGAACAATTTCTAAAACTTTGTTTATACATGACTCCAGGTATGTGACAATAAAATGATATTCACGTAGTTTTATAGCTGCCAAGGATGGTGTCTGTCATTTGAAATTCTCAGTGCAAATTGCTCCCCCCAGCATTATCCATGGTTGGCAAAAATTCTCTGAAAAAAATTGCTCAGTGTGAATTGATATTTGGATATAATGTTGCTTTTTAAGTCTCTTGCTTTTGCACAAAATTGAAAAACTATAGACAAATACATGAAAAGGAATACAAAATATCATGTTTCACTGAATGTTAAAACACAGATAGTTGGTCAGGGTTGTGAGATAGAGCCCAAGTCAGGCTCAGCAGGAAGTCTGCTTGAGATTCTCTCTCTGCCTCTCCCCCACCATATAAATAAATAAATAAATAAATAAATAAATAAGTAAATAAATAAATAAATAAATAAATAAATCTTTAAAAATATATTTATAGAAGGAACTACTCTTAAAATATCTACTGGTATTTAAATTATTAGGCACCATCCATAACTGGTAATAATGTGTTCAAAGGTACAATTGACTTTAACATTGAAGGACAGTACAGATTTCAGCCATTACATTAAAAAAATGCCCTCAGCTTTAGATTATATAATGATAAACTGTACCTGTTGAAAAATATATGTGGAAAAAAGAAATTATTTTAATACAAATATGACTCATGTGTAGACATTCATTTATTCTGATCCAGCAACCATGGTAAATGTGTTTGGATTACTGGGCATAGTATGAAACATTTAAAAGGGAGTGGAGATCTTTATTAAAACAGAAGGCTCTTCAAACTCCACAATGATGTCAGAAATATAGGTCCTTGGAGCACATTATTGTTTTAAGCGGAGGTCCCTGCACTTTCACATTGGTTATAAAACATTATTTTGTGCTGCTGGCCTGGAATGAGAATGTCATACATCTGCAGGCAATTAGAAGAAGCTGGACTGCATGTTTGATTAGCTCAATAATAAACGGGCACAAGTGTGACTCCACTTATGTTAGTCAGATTCCCTAGACAGATTATCCTGTTGTTATCATATGAAATAACCCCCTTTTATCAACAATTAAGTAAATCCACATTTATGGGCACTTTGCAAAATTGTGAGGTGGGAAGAAATCCAACTTAAGCCTTAAGTCATCCAAAAAACTTTTAACCCTGCTTTCAATGATACCGACCCCGACCCCAAGTTTATAGAAATTGGTTGAATTGTGTAGAACAGTTGGGTTAGAAATACCCTTGTGTGTACACAATCAGTAAGTATGTGTTTAGCATCTATCATAAGCAAGGCATTTAATAGTTTTAGCTTATAAGAAAAAATCTCATAAAAGTAAGAATTACAAATGTTTTAATCTGTGAAATGTAACTTTGTCTAAAGTCTAAATCTTTTTAAGAAAAATTAAATAGGATTTCATTTTTATTATTCATCTTTTATTACACAGTTTCTACTGTAACCAATGAATGTTGTAAGTCTTGAATATGCTCTGTCCTGGAACTTCTTCATTCAGTTCTAGGCATTGTTCTTGAGTTCAACCACAATTGTCAGTGATAGACTATAAGCCACTTTGGGAAATCACCCATTCATTTATCTGTTTATTTTCTCTCTTAAGTACCATTAAAATATACATTTTAAGCATGAAAAATAATTCAGTATATAAAAGTCAATACTTAAAAAGATTTCAGCATAGATTTCCAGTTTCAGAAAAATACCACCAAACCATCTATTCCAACCATATATTTAAATAACACAATTAAAAGTTGCTATCTTAAATAAACTGAAGATAACTTCCTATCGATATTCATTCAAATACATACGTAAAGTAACCTCATAAGGCTATCTCCTTGACATAATCCTTAAATTAGATATTGGAATATCAAGCAGATGCTGAAGCATTCATCATCAATATTGGAATTCTGACTCATGACAGTTAACACGAAACAGATGCTGATATGATGCACCCTCTGAAAAGTGACACCATCACAGCATGGGTTAGCTCTTGATGTGGGGTACTTAAAAATTTGAACACAAAATACAAAATAATAAAAGTCAGGGCATGATAGGTGTCCTTCATTCATAAGCCATTTGAAATCTATCTCCTACAGAAGATAAAACTCAACACTGGTGAATAAAGGGCAGCATATCAGAGAAACAGAAGATGCTTCCTTTACTTAGGTGATCCTGATTCAACCCCTTAGTATTGAGGGAGGAAAGTGCTCTCTTCCTCACTTATGCACGGGTAGAAGGTAAGAACTGGACCCTTTCTATGGGCCAGTGTGTACCAGGCACCTGTGGTGTCATATGGGATCTACTCTGTCAGCCTCTGGTGGTGAAAAAAGGAGTCGGGGGCTCCTATGGCCCATTTCAGTAACAAGCTCCACACTAGGCAGATCAGAAAGGGTTTGCTAAATAGGAAAAGGGAAACAAAATCTCTAAGCACAGTCTAGTTAGCTAATATCCTACACATCTTCAAAGCCCAAGATTCTTATCATTTTGCTAGCATGAGTCTACAGCTGTTTCTAGAATACACAGTGATGTGTACTCCTTGTGAAAATAAACAGAAAAGTCCAAGCAGATGGTGCCATGGTGCAAGTGATACAAGCGAAATGTACTCAGATGAGGACTTAACAAGATATAAATGTGAGTAGGGGAGATTCCTGCAAAGGTAACAAGAAACAGAAATCCCGTTTCTTTATTCCTCAGCGAGAAAAATAAATTAGTGGCAAGTTCAATGAAAAGAAAGTTTGAGAACCCAAAGGTGGACATTTATGGAGTAGCTTGACAGCACAATTTCAAATTCCAAATGAATAACCTGACTGCTCCTTCTGATGCTTGGGTTTGGAGGCTAGTTCTGCTCTCACCACCTGTGTGGGCCCTGGTGCTCAAACTTGGCTGTCTGCTGGAACCACTGTGAGGAGCTTTAAAAAATACCAGTGCCCAGAACTCACCCCTAGAGACCGTTATTTAATGGGGCTGGGGTGTGGCTTGGAGATGGAGAAGTTTAGAAGCTCCCAAGTGGCTGCAGATAGATAAGTGCAGCTAAGGTTGACAATCACTGATGACCTCTCTGAGCCACCGCTTCCTCATTTATAAAATGAGGACCATACAGGCAGCAACCATCTTTTAGGATTTTTGCAATGATTAAATGATAATTCAGGCAAAGCACTCAGCACAACCGTGAGATGTGGGAAGCTTCTCAATAAAGGTGAGCTGTTATCCTCACCCCGAGGTGCACTGGGATCAGAACATTCTCGTTAACATAAATCATGCTTACCTTGGCACACGTTATGCTCACTCTGTTCGTAGCCCGTTGCACACTGGATCCGGTGAGAAGGGTTGGAGGGGATGCGCTGAGGGTCAGCTGGGTTCCGCCGGATGACAAAATTATTTCGGCCAGTCTGCACTTCAGGGCCTGCCACGGCGGCAGCACTGGCAACGAAGCCACCGCCGGGCATCACCCCGCTGGTGGCCATGCCACTGGCTGCCACGCCCCCGCGCCTGTCCCAGACGTGGCGGCTGCATTGGCTGCTGCACCCACGCCCTCCGCTGCAGGTGTTTCTTGTTGAGGTTGTTCATTATTGACAATAATCTGGGCTGTTTTAGGAAGGCAGAGGTATCCTCCGTAGTGGTTGACACATTTCATCCCACCTTTGCAAGCGTCTGGGACAATGTCACATTCATCAATATCTGTGGTCAGCAATAAAATAAATCAGGAATCTTCTCAGAGGGAAATCTGAACATGTAAAAATATGTTCATGCCTTTTTGGTAGAATACAAACAGGACAGGAGGAGTGACATGAGATGGAGACAGAGAGCTATGTTCAGGTGGGAAGTCTTTGAAGTTGGCTCACCTTTGCACTGCTGTCTTACAGGATCCCACTCATATCCGTCTGTGCATTGCTGTGAAGAAAACATCAAAGATGGGACCAGGAGACAGTTAATTGGCGTATCCGCTTCCTAAGAAGTCACTCTAAAAGCTGCATTCTATGGCAACAATTTTTGCTTTAGAGTCCTAGATAGATGATGAGATGGGTAGTTTAATGTTCTCGTGGTCCCTCCCTTCCTTCCTCCCTCCCTTCCTTCCTTCCTTCCTTCCTTCCTTCCTTCCTTCCTTCCTTCCCACTTTTCCTCCCTTCTTCCTTCCTTCGGACAAAGCTGTGCATTGGACCACTTCAGGGTTCCCTTCTCAATCACCAGCTGCCTTAACACTTGTGTTGTATTTGGTACAGTTGCCCGTCACCATCTCAGAATTCTTTTCTCTGACTCAATACTGATCTTCTCTAAACTCTCTGAATGTCCTTTTTGCTTTATTTGCCCTTCTCCCACATTATACATTTTAGGAAAAAGAATATTCAACCAAGTCCCTTTTTTCAGCCCTTGACCCTTCCTTTCCTCTCTTAATTCTGTTGGAGCATTCTAGCACCTGCCTTTCCTTATTCCTATTCAGCTGAGTCTCGAGCCTCCTACTCACACCCTGGCCTGCCTCCTAGCTTCAGTTGCTACAGGTCCTTTCTAGTTCACTCACTGAACAAACCATCTGCTGAGTACCTTTTCCTACAAGGCACCATTCTGTTCCCTGGGTATGCAAAGGTCATGAAGGCCTTGTCCTCATCCTCAAGTGGCTCACAGATCAGAAGAGGAGACAGAGAGATAGACAAGTTGGAGTAAGATGTCAGGTGCTGTGACACAAGCATGCATGTGGAAGGAGTGATGGACTCTGTCCAGGGCTGTGTGGGGGTATAACAGGGTGCAAGAGAAGGCTTCATGAGGGAGGCCACAAGTGAATTGGGCCTTACAGGCTCTTCCCAGGGAAATGTGGGGATTCTAGGATGAGGGACCATGTGAGCAAAGGTGCAGCATTGCTAAAGAGAGAAGGGGTTGCAAATAGTCTGGGTGGGGGGATGCAGTTAGAGGGACAGGCAGGAATCAATTCCTACCTTGAATGTCCATGAACGTTGACCCAAAGGATCAGATTCTGTAGGTATAGGTAGGAGGCTTGGAATCTGAATTCCTAACAAGCATCCCAGGTGATTCTAACACAGGTTGCCTACAGGCTACTTCTTGAGAAACGCGGCTATAGGTGATGAAGCCCCAGAATAGTTTTTTTAATTGCTTATTTTGTCCCTAAAGCACTTTTAAGGAAAATATTTGACCAGATGCAGATTTGAGGAAGACGCTTCATGAAAGATTGATCAAAAAGTAGAGTGAACAAACAAATACACTTGAATCCTTTTAATAGAGCTGAGAGTTGCTTACACACACAACAGATGCTTGGCAAGTATATAGCTGAATGGAGACGGGGAGCTCAGTTTAAATATTTTAGCGATATATCTGAAACTTCTCAGGGTGAAAACTAAACTCACTTTATCTCCTAGGCTAATTCTTTCTACTTTCTCCCACTTGTCCAAGGCACTACTACCTTTCTTGGGACCCCGGATTATAATCCTAACACCCACACTGACTTTTCCAATTGTGTTCCTTCAAGCTCTGCTGACTTTGTGTCCATGTCTATATCTACCACACCGGTGTAAGCCTTCCTGCCCCACACACAGCCTCCACAGCAATCTTTCTTGCTCTCTTGATTATGTTACTCCTACATTTAAGAGCTCACATTGCTTGCAGACCTCTCAACTCCCACTTCTGTCATCTTCAGGTTCCCCGCACTACCTAGCTCCAGCCCAACTAACCTGGTCATCTCCTCAATGTGTCTTGGTTATTTTTACCTCTAGACTTTGATCATGACACTTTCTCTGATTGAGGTGCCCCTTTAGCCTTTCTGGATTAGTCTGACATCATTACTTCTTTCAAGATTCAGCCTAGAACTCGACTTTTCCCCATCCAGTACTGACATTAATTGTTTACTTGCTTTTCTATCTCTTTAGCAACTTGTATAGTATGTATGATTTGTACTTGCTTAGGAACTTTGTAGTTCTCAACAGTATTTTCCCGGGGCAAATTCCCTGAGGTGAAGGTCTGAGTTTTCTTAGTGAACAAACTTAAATTTTGCTGGTGGTAAGAAATGCTTATGTACATGGCAGCTACTTGGCAAGGAAATGGCTGAATGGACCCTAACTTTAAAATGGAAGGGGAATATTGAGGCTGTCTTATGGATATGAGCTCAATCTTCCAAAAAGTATCTTTCAAGCCAGGCACAATGACAGTTCACTTTGAATAATCTGTATGCTAGCTAGCTAGAGAAAATATGCAGATTGTCTTAGGTATTTAGTTCCAGTACATTTAATATAGGCCTGTTAATATAGGCCTGTCATCCAAGCATAGGCTGAGTTTAGCTTCACCACTTGCTGGCTGTGTAGCCTTCAGCAAGTTAGATGCTCTCTTTGATATTCAGTTCTGCTATTGGTGAAAGGAAGATGATACCACTTACCTCATACTTTGCTGTGAAAATGAAAGGAGCTAATGTCTCCACAATGGGGTACTCACAAAGTAGTTACATCTTACTCTTTAACCATGAATTATGGGTCATACCCAGTTGAAGAGAAAACAGACCTAATTTTAGAACAAAAAGGATGTCATATCTGGAAAATCTGCTATAATAATAATGAATCCTAGTTAGTGGTCTAAAACTATAGTGTTTAATGCACAGTGACCTTTCTTTGCTAAAGATGAATGTGCTTTAGTTGATGAACTAAAGAAAAGGGGGTATAAGACAGGCAATTCTAAAAGCAATAAAATATTTTATTGGATAAATATAAAAATGGGTAGTTAATTTAATTTTATCTAAGAAGGTAGTAAGTTTAGCCTGAATAATAAAACATTCTCATTTGAAGATAAACAACACATGTATTAATTTCTCATGCTTTATTTATCTTCAGCAAAGGAAGCAACTATATTTATCATTAAGTTAACAAAATATTTATGTGAAGCCCGATTTGATTTATAGTTGATCTGAACAACAACAAGGAACATTTTCCAGATGAATATTAACATTCTAGGGATAATAGGATACTGAAAAGTGAGATAATGTTTATTATCAGTAATTGACATTAGCTCACTTTTAGGAGTTTTATTTTCAAAAATTTTTCACATTCTTTTGAGTAGGATTACTTAATTTTAAATTGGGAGCAAGTAGAAAAATATGTTTTTCGTATTCTGATCCAGGACAAATGTCACTTGCCTCACAACACCGGTTAAAGACTAGAAAACACAAAACAAAAACGAACAAACAAAAGAAAACACAAAGCAGAGGTGCAAACAAACTCACTGGAAGTGAGGTAAGTACTGTCACCTGTTTTCGCCACATCCATTCCTGATAATAGGATGGGTCCGATGAGTTTTCAATATTTTATTAACATTGCTTATTTCCATGCAATCAACTAATTAATCAAATATTACTTGGAAACAATCAGATAAAATTAATTAAAAATTGCAAATTAATTAGAAAATGCAAAACCAAATTTCACACAATGCATTCTATTTTATTTTTAAATTTTTTAAAAGATTTTATTTATTCATGAGAGACACAGAGAGAGAGGCAGAGAAATAGGCAGAGAAGCAGGCTCCATGCAGGGAGCCAGAAGTGGGACTCGATCCCAGGACTCCAGGACCATGCCCTGGGCCGAAGGCAGGTGCTAAACCACTGAGCCACTCAGGGATCCCCCACACAATGTATTTTAAGGCCACATTAGCCAATACTGCATCCTGGTAGCACGTAAATTTTACCTGAAGGGCATTTATATGAATTATCAGTTATACCATAACTGAATATATAGCCTTTGTAAGTTTAATAAAGGCCATTTACATGAGAACATAAGTCACAGACACAAATGAGGTATGTGCTTTTGTAGTGTGTGTTTTTTCTTTTTTTTAAGGTTTTATTTATTTATGCATGAGAGACACAGAGAGGCAGAGACACAGGCAGAGGGAGAAGCAGGCTCCATGCAGGGAGTCTGTTGCAGGACTTGATCCGGAAGGGCCAGTATCATGCCCTGGGCCGAAGGAAGGCACTAAATGGCTGAGCCACTCAAGGATCCCCTGTAGTGTATGTTCTTATTTGACTTGTCTTACTCTGCAAGTTTTGGTTTTATCTGCATGTATATAGGAATCCAGGCTTTCCAATTCTTATCCTCATTCATTTATTAAATGTGTTGGAAACATGTAGCTTACTTTAGTTCTTGTTTTTAAAGGGTCTCCTTTTTGAGTCTTGCAGAAATCATTAAGTTTCAGTCCCTATCTCAATTGGTGATCTAAAAGAACTTTTGGAGGGACCACGAGTGATTTAAACAAATCTTAAATGTGAATCCTACTAAAGCGTTGTTTAATTTATTACCCTCTACAGCCTACAGCCCACATACACTGGCAGGAATGGATAAAGTCCCCCTTGTGTCACAGAATCCCGCTGAACCACACTTATCTCAAATTCCATCGCCCCTTACCGTGTATGTGATGGTTTCTTCGGTGTCCTGTGACTTGACCAGCGCCAGAGTCAGCATAGTTAGGAAAAGGGCTTTCAACATCGTGAATCTCAAAGAAAACAAAGGGCAAACTGATGCTTAGTATCTGCTGCTGGAGAAATAACAAAACCGTAGCTGTGCAGAAACAAGCAAGGAAGGGCAGGAGGGAGAGGCTGAGGTTCCCTCATACCCAGTTTCCAATCTACTTTCTCATTCCTCCCCTCCCTCTCCCCCCCCCCAACCTTCCCTGGGCCAAATGAGGCAGCAAAGCCTGTAAAACGGCTGCAGAATTACATTTCACTTTACTCCATCCAGCTGCGCTGAACATATACAAAGGATATTCAGCGGGCATTTTATACTGCACCTTCACAACAGGCTCCAGCAAGGGGGTGGGAGGGAAAGAATTTCAAAGGAGATGGTGCGTGTGCGTGTGCGTGTGTGTGTATGAGAGACAGAGACACAGACACACATGCACACACACAGAGGGGGTGGAGGGGCAAGCCTCGCATTCCTTGAAATATTAAGGCTCTCCCTGTATGCTCACCTCCGGCTCGTGAAGTTCCTCGCACAGCTCAGCAAAAATAGCCATGAACCAGTATGAATTACCCTGGCTTCAAACTTTTTTTTTTTTTTTTTTAAACAAAACTCAAAGGGCAACCTCCTCCCCTAGTGGATTACCTGCCCTCCAGGGTTCCTTCTCACATCCCCCAGAGCAAACTCCCAAATGGGCATTTGTGCGCGCAGCTCTGTGCGGAAGCCCCAGGTTGCGCGGAGGAGCAGCCCGGAGCGCCGGCTCGCGCCCCCCACCCCCCGGGGGCGCTTTTTAGTCCCTCCGGTACCCGACACGCCGCCTTCAGGCTCGGGCTGCGCCGGGTCAGAACCCGAGGCAGTGGTGTGCAGTGGTGTGCAGTGGTGTGCAGGCGGCGGCCTGGCGCCCCCGGGGGGTGAGCTCCCCGTGCTCGCAGCTAGACCCAGGCTGCAGCCCCGGAGCCGCCGCGCTCGCGTGCAGCCAGCGGCCCTGGAATCCAGGTGCGGCTCGAGGCTCGTACCTCCGGCCCCCGGAGCGCTCGGAACCTGGGAGCCGGCGGCCGGCCCGGCGCGCACACCCGTGCCCATCCCGGCAGCTGTCACTCCGGGGCTCGCCCGCGCGCACACACGGTCCCGGACGCGCACCTCCGCCGCCCTCCCCGCCCGGGGCCCCGCACGGCCCGGGCAGCCCGCGCCCCCCGGCGTCCCCGCGCGCGGCCGGGGCTCCTACCTGCGCGGCCGCGCTGCTCTGCGGGCCGGGGCGGCGGCGGGAGAGCGCGGGGGAGCGCAGCCCGGTGGGTCCGGACGGGCGAGGTCTGGCGGCGGCCGCGGCGGCGGGACCAGGAGGAGGAGGAGGAGGAGAAGGGGAGGGCAAGGGGGAGGGCGGAGGGGGGCGGGGAGGGAGCTGAGGGAGGCGCGAGGCCCGAGCCCGGCGCCGCAGGCCCCGCGGGAGCGCGCTGCGCAGCCGGGTCCGCGCCCCCTCCCAGGGCCCCGGCCGAGGGTGGCACGCTGGGCGCCGGAGGTCTTGGGTTCGAACCAACCTTGGTGATGCTCCAGCCTTCCAGACGGTGTCCGGTGCCGTGCTGGGGACAGGGCACACGTCTCTCCAAAGAGAGAGACAGAGACAGCCGCTCAGGGTCCTGAGAAATTGCTTAAACTTTTTTTCCCCCCCCAATAAGTGGATCCTAGGACAGTGAATTAACCGAACTCATTGAACCGGTTCTTTTGCCCTTTCTTTCAAACGCTTTATTTATTCGTTTTATTATTTGAGGTCTGCTTCCTCAAATGTAGGAAAACAGAGAAGCCGTTCATTCAACAAATGTTCTTGACCTACTATGTGCTAGGAGGGGCAATGAGCCAGGGATAGCTCAGGCTAACGACACTGTGAGGTCAGGTTTGTTTTGGGGCTCACAAGCCTCTCCTGTTGATGGGCCCTTTTTCTTACCTGCTGCTTCTCTTCTCTCCACAGGTTTGCTCGCGGGAGTCCCCCAGGACTGTTTATTGAAAGTCGGGCATTTCACTTTCACCTTTCATACTAATGGTGGAATTTCCAGAATCTGGAGAGAGAGAGAGAGAGAGAGAGAGAGAGAGAAAGAAAGAAAGAAAGAAAGAAAGAAAGAAAGAAAGAAAGAAAGAAAGAAAGAAAGAAAGAAAGAAATTTCTGGCTTCTTCAAATCATACCACACAGATTGCTGTTATCTCTGAAGGCTCCAACTCTACAGTCAGATGAATAGTTTGCTTCCAACTCAGTCATGTCTTCTAGGAAGCAAACAGCCAAATACAGCTTCATGAATGAGACAATGTGCCAACTGAAGGTGCTAAGGACTTTGACCTGGAATGAGATACAGAGAGGGTGGGAGAGAGAGGATCAGCTCCTTTCCCTTTTCTGCTGGCCACCAGGGAAGAAGGTGGTAGACACTGCAAGACAGAGAGGCTGTTTGTTGGGTGGAGGCCTCTCTCCTTATCTCTGGGGTATGCAGTGGGTTGTTTAGACCTTGCCAGATTGGTTGCAAGCCATACAATATTGGGCAAGATCAAAGGAGCTTCATGGCCCTGAACCTTACATAAGTATGTGGGATTTTGCTAATAGTATTGAAGATTTTTTAAATTTCATTTTTATTTTATTTTTTTAGTATTGAAGATTTTTACGACCAAAATTCAAATAAGTTTGTATTCCTAGTCATTAATGACCTCCAAACTTTTTTTAAAAAGAGAGAAAGAGAGAGAGAGAAGAACTTTGTCTTTGTATAGTAAAAAAAATCTACCCAGACACTTTCTTCTAATTTTTTAAAAAATTCTATCCTCAGCACTAGCCCCTGAAAAAGTGGGTTGAAACTCCCAAATTTCTATCTCCAACCTGGAACTCTTCCTGCCTGAATATCCAACTGTTGACATTGTTATCTTCATCTGTACACCTAATGGGCATTTCGGACTTAGGTCTGCTGAGTCTCTCTCTCTCTCCCAGCCTTCTCCATCCACCTGCTTCACCATCTCAATTAACAGCAATTTCATTTTTTTCAGTTTTCTCAGCTCCAAGATCGTGAGTCACCCTTCATTTCTCTTTTTTTTCATACACCTTGCATTCAGTTCTTCAGAAAATTCTCTTGGCTCCATCTTCAAAATATATCCACTCTCCATCTCTTCTTTTGTTAACACCCTGGTCTGAGCAACCAGCATCTTCCACATGGATTATTACAGTAACCTCCTAATTGGTCTCCCTGCAGTTTTTTTTTCTCAGCAGAAATTCATATAGATGGATCCTAGAGTATGTACTCTTTCATATCTGGCTTCCCTCACTTAGCATGCTTTTGAGATGTATCCTTACGTCAGAAATCCACTCCTTTTTATTGCTGATGTTATTTCAATATATGAATATACCCTGACTTTTTTTTTCACCTGTTCACTTGTTGATAAATATTTGGACTGTTTATGAATAAAGCTGTCATGGACATTCATGTAGAAATTTTTGTGTGGATACATGGTTTCCTTTCTTTTAGGTAAATACTTAGGAGAGGAACTACTGGGCTATGTGGTAAGGATATGTTTAACTTTAAAAGAAAGTGCCAAAGTGTTTCCCAAAGTGACTGTACCATTTTACATTCCTACCAGCAACATGTGAGATTCCATTTGCTCCACATCCTTGCCAATACCTGGTATTGTCAGTCATTTATAGAGTTAGCTGTTATGGTGGGTAAATAAGTAACATCTCATTGATGGTTTTATTTTACACTGATCTCATTTTTAATTATATTGAGCATTTTTTAATTTCTTTATTGTCCATCAATACATCTCCTTTTGTGAATATCTCATTAAATTAAAAAAAATTTTTTTAGAGAGGAAGGGTAGGGGGTAAGGGGAGTGGCAGGGAGAGAATCTTAAGCAGGCTCTATGCCCAGTGAGGAGCCTGACATGGGGCTCAATCTCATGACCCTGAGATCATGACCTGAGCTGAAATCAAGAGTCACTTACCCAAATGAGCCACTCAGGCACCCCATCCTTCCTATTTCTGACGATAGGGTATTTCTTTACTAGTTGAAAAATAGTGAAATTGGTTAATGGCATTCTTGGGCTACTGATTCAGGGGTAGTCTATTGTCCCACTTCAAATTAATCAGAACTCAAAGAAGTACTTCATTTCCAGATTTAGGGGAAAGGCTTTCTAAGCTTACAGTAGAGGGGAACAATAGAGCCCTTTGCTTCAGTCGCCACTGGCAACCATATTACCACCTGGAGGTAAGCCAGCCTGATCTGGAAGGTGGTACAATCTGTGAATGGCCCACACGTGGATGGAACCTACGTCCTTGATAGATTTTTCATGGGGCTGACTAGTCCTAGGAACCACGATACTTTTAGACATTCTCCACAATGTTTAATTTTCTTATAAAGTCAGAGGAAAAAAATTTCATCCAGTCTGAATTAAATGTCTTAATACCATTGCAGTCTATGAAATACATATATATATATATATTTTTTTTTTTTTTTAGTGGAGGAAGGGGTCCATGAAGGCAAAAGTGCCCAGGGATCATGAAAGTCATAATGTGGCCCTGATTGTTGCACTTCCAAATCAGGCAATGTGGACTCTGTTCTACCTCTACACTCCAGTCTTGTGAGGTAATATATTTTCTAATGGTCCAAGTCAGGTGTTCAGTTACTTGCAGAAGAAAATGTACTCACTGCTAGTGTGAGGAAGCCTCCTACTCTGGAAGTTCTGGCCCTTGTGATGTGCTATGCTTGCGTCCTGCACTCCAGAGTAGAAGGCTCTGAGTGTTTCTTGGGAGAGGCTGTTGGGAGAGATTCCCAGCCTGCTCTGTCCTTGGGCAAGCTGAGTGTTCCAGCCACTTCTGCTTGGATCAGCTTGTGAGTTCCTCCCCACCATCCCCTGGCATTTTTGTATGTGTGTGCGATTTTTAAAGATTTAAGACTTGAACGCTCCCTTTAATTCAAGAAGACAACTCTGGCCTCTCTTCATATGATCTGAAAAGTAACCAGTGACTAATTTTCATAAGGAGGCCCTCTGCTTCCTAGTTTGCCGACTATTACTATATGTATTGCAAAGAAGAGTTTATATTACATGTTCTTTAATATTTCCCTTTTTAAAAATTCCCCGAGAATAATTAGAAGTTTCAGGGACCCACAGATTCTTTAATTAATTGAGTCATGGAGTCAACAAATCCTGTGGTTAAAACCTGATTAAGAATATTCACTGATGTGTGGGCAATTGAAGACAGTGAAATCTGTAAAAAACAAAGAAAAACAACATTAAACAAAAACCAAAATGAACTCAACAAAAAAGGCAGCAAAGATGAAACAGTTACATAGGGCTTAATAGCAGGGTGATTAATTCACCCCAATTTGTCCAGGACTTTTCCAGTTTTTGCACTGACAGTTCTGTGTCTTGGGAAAGTCCTCAGTTCTACACAAATTCAAAGGTTTGTGTAGTGGGGAAAAAAAAATAGGACAGGTAGCCAGGAGTTCTTGCCTGGACTTTGCTATGCTCTAGCTACATAACCATGGCAGTTACTCAACTTCTTTGAAACAGAACTGCACAAATGTTGACCAGGGTAACAACATTTATAACTGTAGTTATTATATTTACCTGATTTTTTTTACCTTGTTTTTGCTGGTTCCTCATCTATTCCCTCTTTTTCTGGTAATAATATCCTGACTTTCCTTGGGAAACCAACCCTTATAGTGATAGGCCATGACCAGGTCTGCCCACAGAATGCCACTAAGTATACAAAAAGAGAAAACTCATAGGCCCTAAAAATAAGGGGGAATGACCCAGTGCCAGTACAACAAGAATGTCAAAGCCCAAAACCTGGTTATCAGGCCTACTAATGCGGCACAATTATTGTCTTCTTAAGTTGTTTCCATGTGCTGATAAGAATGAGGATACAAAGAACACAGGCCCATCATTCCATGTTTCTTTGACTGGAAGGAGCCCATTCTACATGGGATGTCAAGGCTGTAGACCAGCATCTGAGCTATAAGGCAGGGGGAGAGCTGAGACCTACTCCCTGAGTCCTTATTTCATTATATCCTTTGCTGGCTGATTCTTTCTTTCTTTCTGATTTTTTTTAAATATTTTATTTATTTATTTATTTATTTATTTATTCATTCATTCATTCATTCATTCATTCATGAGAGACACAGAGAGGGAGAGAGGCAGAGACATAGGTAGAGGGAGAAGCAGGCTCTATGCAGGAAGCCTGATGTGGAACTCGAGGATCACACCCTGAGCCAACGGCAGATACCCAACTGCTGAGCCACCCAGGCATCCTGCTGGCTGATTCTTTCCATCCCTGAATCCAGACACCGTGATTTGGTCTAGAGTATTTCCAATCCAGATAATTTGCA